TCGAACCACAATTCAGCTGACTTGATCAGTCAAGTCAAAAGTCTTTATTGCATCCCTCATGGATAACTAAAATGCTTGCACACAGAATTAGTACTAAAACGGTTACATATATACAATTACAAGAATATACAAATAGTGTTAAAACTATAATTCCTTAAAACTATAATTCTGTAAAAATCAACGCTCGCCCAAGAGCGGGAGGGCACACACGCTTGCCGTATTCAAAGCTGAATACTGTAATCTCGCCAACCATACATGGCACCTGAAAGGATAGTGTCTGCATATTTCGGCAATTGGCTCACCCCAGCCCACCCTGGCCTTGCCCCCTTCAGCAGCCCAGATCTATAAGCACTCCACCATTTGAATTGGTGCAGGGCATGGTTTCCAGAGTATGAGCGCGAAAAACGAAAAACAAAATGTTTTTGTAAGAGAGTTATCTGTACAACCAGACGGCATGGCTGCCTTAGCAAAAGTGGCCAAGTGTTCTCTTCGGTGTTTCTAATAGGGTCAAGTCAAAACTAGCTCAAGCGTATAAATCATTGTACAGCGGTGATTCATTATTTGAAGTTATTTGAATTTCTTTTGCCTCGAATTGATTAAATGGGCCTTGTGTTAAATTGAATGTCATTTTGCTGAAATTGGCCACGAAAAGCTAGACTTAAGACCTAGAAAGTGAAAGATTCATGTAATCCTAGCCTTTCGTGAGAGAATTCATGCCTTGTTGGCTGCTAAAAGCCAAGACAGGGCACAGTACATGTACTAGTATATTACACTAAAATGTGTAGTCTACTGCGCTCTACCTACCCAAACACTCACTACATATGCAAATTCCCAGGCACCTATCATTGTTCGCTGAAAGGATTTGATCACACATAGTGCACCCTGACCTCCCACAATGCAATGCGGCTTCGCCGCCATGATCATCCTTCTTTTGTTAGCGCCGTAGCATAACGGACGCGTCTTTCGAGGTATCTTTGATTTTTGAGCTTCCGTTTTCACTACACGGTTTTGTGTCGATTTGATCTCCTTTTTGAATAAAGTATTACCTTGAATTTTTACCAGTTTGTTGGTAAGAGTACATTCTCTGGTATATTTTTTGTGTTTTTCCACTGTTTTTCTTATGTGCATCCTGCAGGTGTTTACTGTCGGTACTACAAGGTTCTACTCAGCTATGCCCATGTCTACCTTACCGGTTAATTCTAGGCCTTAGTCGGTTGATTTCAGGGGGTCGCTGTCAGGATCTGTCATACTCCCCTGTTTTCTCCGGCTACTTAGACGAGGAAAAGGCCTCGTCGTCAGCCAGGGGGTTCCAGCCATGATCTGGCCAGGCCCCTGGTTCATTTAGCCCCACGGAGCTGATGGGGAAGCTCCGTTGTTGACTGTGGAAGACCCCAGCAGGGACACTGCCAGGATCTGGCAAGGACCCTGTCTCTTTGGTCAATCGCTGGCCTGGCGAGCCAGCTGGGACTCCCGAGGGAATACCCCAAGCAGACATCTTCCGGGCCCGCCTTACCATCATCGCACGCCACGCCCTCTGACCGCCATGGCGGGGTTCCAGCCAGCACTCCCCTGGCGACTCCGAAGAACACCCGCCAGTCAACGTCAGTCAAGAAGACTACTTCTCCAGCTGTTTCCGGGCGTACTCCTTCCGGCCCAGATATCGAAGCCACCGGATCGGGCTCCCCTCAAATGCCGGGACCCTCCCCATCTGATGCACCACTGAACTGCGATACCCCGCAACTGGGCAATTCTTCATCGGGCTCTGCGGAGCCTCTTGGGCTTTTACACTGCCGGGGCTTCAAACCACCGAAGCCCATTCGAGACTCTGGCTTTCAACTGGGCATCACCGGGTCATCGGACTTATCTCTCCTGGTCCTTCCACCCGGAACTCCTCTACAGTTTTCGCCGACCTCAACCGGGAACACTCCCCGGGCGTTCTGCCCCTCATGGCCCCGTCTACTACAGTACGTTGCATTTGAAAGTTAACGCTGCGAAAAGGAATGGGAAAAAAAGCGAAAGGAATTCACATTCACATTTCGCATTTTGATGTGCTCACCACGGCGAGCCGCGCCCACGTGGCGCAGTTGTTTTCTTGGATTACCATAAATAAACACTGGTCAATGTCGGAGAATAAATGTCTAAAAAGTTGTCTGGATGTTGAGTGATTAAACGGGAGTCCCTAAGTCATGAAGTCACGAAGCACATGAAATGTATGTATTACGACAAACTTAACTTGCTCTGCTCTGGCGACATGGGTTATTTGCCCACTTTTTATTTATTCTCGTGGTGTAGTTTGGCACAAAAAAATATCAACAATGAAATACTACATGTAGTATTTTCTTACCAACAGGTTTCTTTCGATTGACAAATAAAATCAACTGCTTAAATTGTATGTGTATCTTCATGTAGCAAATCTCGTCTTTTGGCCGATTGTGTTCGGTGTGACATATTGAGTCTGTTTTCATTTGGGGTCCTAATGACATGTTACTTTCTGTGGTCACATGGTTATTGGAAAGTCAGCGATTGGACTGTCCATGAATGGGTATGCAGTAGCAGTCAGGATGTTGCGGTAGGTGTAGATGCAGTTTGTGCTTCGCGATGCGGTGCGGCATGCATGAGGTCCCGTGGCGATTTTTGAAGAGATTTGGTAATATTTTTTGATTGGCATCACAAAAACGTCGAGATAACCGGATACAAGGCATTTATTCTGAAATCACGGTACATACATCTGCCAATACATGTAAACGTAATTCACATACATGACAACATGTGGATACATGTGCACATGTTGAGCATCCATCCAAGTGGGTTAATTTTAACGCTTATAAGGCATGCAAGAGAGTGCTATATAACCAACCTCTATCATAGCCAGCTTTGATTTCGCCTGTCGCATTGTATTTTGCTAAAAACCCCGTAATCTGAATATTCCTGAGAATTGAAGAACTTTTCTCTCAGACTGATTTTCCTCCACTTTCCATACTCAGAGATGCGTATGTTTGAAACCACAGAGAACTAAAACTTCCTGATGTCTACATGTACATGCACAAATACTACTTAATGAAGAAAGCTTGCAAAATTATTTTCCCACTACCAGAGAAAATCTGAGAAAATCTTTGCCCACTTGTGAGAAAAAGTGGGAAAATCTGTTCTCACTTGTGGGAAAATCTGTGAAAATCTTTTCCCACTTGTGGGAAAATCTGTGAAAATTTTTTTCCATTTGTGGGGAAAAGCGTGAAAATCTTTTCCCACTTGGGGGGATATCTGTGAAAATATTTTCCCACTTGTGTGAAAAATACTTTAAATACTATTGCAGAATTTTTCATGTACCTTTTCAACCTGGGCTTACAAGTCTCCACGATTAGCAACTATAGATCGGGCTTGGCTGCTTTACATTCTGGCTTTATAGACAGCTCCTCTATATCCAATAACATTGCCCTTCATTTATCTCCTGCGTAGTATGTTCATTGAGCGCCTACGTGTGAAATGCTTAGTCATGTCATGGGATCTGAGCAAAGTTCTAAGGATGCTCACAGGTGCGCCCTTCGAACCTTGAGGTAATGCCACCCGGCTACATGCCAGTGTTAAATTAGCCTTTCTACTAGCTGTGACCACTTCCAGGTGGGGCTCCGAACTGCAAGCCCCTTCAATTGCTGAGGGACACCTTTGCTGAGAACCACATGGTGTACGCGTTATTCCATCTATCGGCTTCTTAACCAAAAACCAGTGTCTTTCCTTTGAGCCACCAGACATTTTGTCCCAACTATCACTTTGCATATGACAGACGATGGAGACAATCTCTGGTGTCTGATTCATACACTGAATTGGTACTTCTACCAATCCACACCGACCAGCAATGAGAGACACCATGGCCCGCTGGGTAGTTTCAGCTATTAAATTTGCCAATCCAGACTGGCCAACACACTCCGATAACCAGAGTCAACAGTTTATCAGAGCACATGATGTCAGAGCTGTGTCTACTTCTTGGTCTTTCTTCTCTGGGATTTCCATTGCAGACATCTGTAAGGCTGTGTGCTGGAAAACTCCCTCTACATGCACCTCCTGCTGTCTAAGGGACGTCTTGCAAAGTGACTTAGCACATGGCAAGGTGGTCCTACTGTGCAGAGGTCAAAGGAACTGTGTTCAGGCTGAACAAGGGGACAGGCTACCTGAAGATACCTCTCTGAGGAGTTTGATCTTTATTTACCTCCCAATACGTAATCTTGATACTACCATAAGTACATGTATGTGTGCATATTTTTATGCTCATGTTACTTACTTTTATTTCATGTTATAGCTGCCCCCCTCCTAGATCAGTGCTACTCTGCATATATAGTGACTGTTTGGGTAGGTAGAGCGCAGTAGACTCCTCCCCTACATTTAGTGTGGGTCGGGTCTACTAGAGAATACCTACCCAAACAGTCCTCTCCCGCCCGTCTGCCCCACTTGGCTCCGACACTTTGATGTTGCTCTCGAAAAGAAGGACGATCATGGTGGTGAAGCCGCATTGCATTGTGGGAGATCAGGATGCACTATGCGTGTTCAAATCCTTTCAGTGAACAATAATAGGTGCCTGGGAAATTTGCATATGTAGTGACTGTCTGGGTAGGTATTCTCTAGTAGACCTGACCCACAATAAATGTGGGGGAGGAGTTTTAGGCAACATAGTTGAAAGTTTAGTTTGTTGCAGTTGCACCAATATTAATAAAAGAAATTTTTGTGACACTGCAGACTCCATTGCCTTAAAACCAGGCATTTCATTCAGATATTTGTAGCTTTGCATAAATTTCATTTCTGCTTATTTGTCATGTTTGTATGTGTGTGTGAAAGGCACCGGGTGCATTGCATCAGTTATTTTAATTCTGGCATTCACAGAACAGTGCCATTCTTTAAAATTCGTTAATTCATGGAAGTGTAGAATCGTTTAACTTTTGCTTCCTTTTCTCTCTCTCTTTTTCCTCTCTCTTTTTTCCCCTTTTTTATGGGGGGACCCTGTTTGATAGATATCGGAAGTAACAACAGTGGCTACTATGAGTTGCAAGCTGTACTAACTCATCAAGGCAGGTCCAGCTCTTCAGGTCACTATGTTGGCTGGGTCAAGAAGAAGGGAGGTATGGAAAAACTGCATGTTGAAAATACTTTTAAAAGCATTAATTTCAAGTTTTCCTGGTAATCATGGGAAAGTCTTGAAGAGACAAAGATACAAGCAACATTTTTGTATACCTTGGTGTTGTACCCATTGGTTGCACATCAAATTTAGTTTTCAATATGGTCAGGAATGATGTTTTCTTTGTATGAATTTGCATCAGTGGGCAGATGGATTAGTTAGTGGCTGGATGACTATTTCATTAGCTGTTCCCGACTGGAAACAGCTTATTTTTTCCTTGCAATTTTTGACCTTTTTTCTTTTTCCAACCTGTGCCATTTGTTTTGTGCATTTTTTATTGCAATGCCACTTTTAGAATTAATCTTCAATCTCTGAATATGTCTTGACCATCATCTCAAAACTTGTCATCCTGATGACATCATCAGTGTTCATGTGATGTCCCTATGTTAACCACTTCCTGACAGGGGACCCGTTTTCGAGCACATACATGCAGGCTTTATACGCAGAGCTAGGGTGCCCGAAATGGGGACAAAATAGCTGGGCCTTGTAACAAAAGACCATGCTCAGCACAAAGACTGAGCTGCTGGGCATTACCGCCATTTTTTCACTCTCAATAGTGGAGATAATCCAGCCTTGTTTTGAAACAGTATACCACAGTTTGTGGCATTTAGAGCGAGTGGATTACCACCGGCAACAAAAGCAATCCACCACTGCAGCGATGAGTCACACAGTGCCGCTGCACGCTAATCTGGCCCCTATTGAAAAGAGGTCAGCAGTGCACCGGTGCCAGGTTCATGAACAAAAGAAAGTTATATAACACCGCACAATCTGGGCTGTTTTTACAAGGCTGCAGGCCTGGCTGAAATACCTGAGCGTCAGTAGAGTTGCCTGTCAGGCTAGAGTGGCCACCAGACAGTAATTCATGTGGTGTAAACGTCCATTAATTGAAATGATGAATTTTTGAAGATTTTTGAAAACTGAAAATTTGAAATTCGCCCGTATGTGTGCACTGCATTTTTTCAAACCACCCTGCAGCATGTGGTTAAATTGCTATTTTTAAAGTCCATTATCTCAAGAACTACTGTATAGTGTATTTGCCCAATTGGGCTGGGACTTTGCATGGTACAGACCACAATGTGTTTTACATGTCAGTAAAAATTAGCTTGACGTCATGATGACATCATCATGGAATGTCTTATCAATTAATAATAAAATTAATAATAAATACAATTAATTTGATGAACATGAGGTAGATTGGCAGGCTTGGCCCAACTCAGCCTGGCTTGTTGAACTTGTTGTAGACGCTTTCTGTTCCTTTAATGTAACTGTTGTTCACCATCTCTCTCGTTAAGAACATACTTCTCTACTTCTGGATCCTTTTGAGGCTTATCTTCCATTTTTGGTGGTTGGTCCTCACTATCGTTAGGTTCAGGCAAATTCACCTCCTCTGCTCCAGTTGGTCATTGAAAGTCATATTATTGGTCATAAGTTTTGGTTTATCATAGTCGGTCTCCATATTTCTCAATTTTTTGCTCATCTGTTTTGTCTTCTCTGGATACATGCTTAGATTCATCTTCTTCCCTCACTGTTTATTTTTGTTGTCCCCCTCTTCCATGTCGGCTGCTATTGACTGTTCTCTTCTACTGTATTCCCTCTGTTTCCACCATCTTGATTGTTTTCCTTTTTTGCCACTTTCTGAAAGCTGTTTTTTTCCCTCGGATGTACTGGTACTGGCTTTTTCTTTGTGCCTTGTTGAAAGTACGGCATCTTCGAGGAAGGCAAGGACCAGCATTTGTGATGTGTCCATATCTTGTCACAGAGATTGTGCCGTGAAGCATGGTGAACTTTGCTTCCACAAATGAGGCAGCTGTCACTATGAACAGAGGCAGCCTGTTTTTTTTTATGTCAATTTCTCGAGTTTCTTTAACAGGATCTTCATGTCTGGCCCAATTATGGGATTTAACTTGTACATTAAAGCGTGGCGATCATCATTTCCTTTCCTGTTGACTTCTTGAGCTTCACTTTTTTCATCCGACTCTCCTCTAGGCATTGATTCTTTTCCTGGTTTTCTTGCCTCAGTAATTTCCAACTCTTATATTGTCTCTTATGTTGAGATGAAATCCATCGGCTGCAATCTTCCCACTCGGCAAATTTCTTAGTGTTGCCTTTATTAACTGTCAATTTTGTAGTCATACATGTAGCCCCATTCAACTCGGTCTGGTAGTGCTTGAAAAGACAATTGAGTCTGACCATCTTTCCCTCATCCAATGATGCAGCTGCAGAATTGATATTACTGCCTTCAAGACGACCATTTACATGTAAATGTAAATTTATTGTGTTTACTGATGTAACTGCTTAAATTAATATATTGCTTGTTGGTTTTATTTCTTGGTTTTAGAGGAATGGATCAAATTTGATGATGACAGTGTTTCCCCAGTCGCATCTGAAGATGTCCTTAAGCTGTCTGGAGGTGGTGATTGGCACTGTGCTTATGTACTTCTCTATGGTCCAAGGAGATTAGATGAACCAGCCCAAGATGAAGAACCAATGTCAGAAAAATAATGTGACAAAAACAACATGTTGCCAGTCTTCTCCCATTGCCTGTATCTGTTGCGACACAGAATATGTAGTGACTGTCAAAAATTTGGATTGGAAACATTAAGGTTATCTGCTCTTATTTGATGAAAAAGCATCAGATCCCTCACTCATTGATAGTTATAACTTACTCCTTTTACATTTTCAACAAAGTTAGAGTCTGAAACGTTTTTGGCCAAGTAAAAAAAAATAAATAAATAAAAGGGTTTGACACTGGAAGAAAAATGTGACCATCTGTTTTATGATGATATAACTCTGCCAACATTTTTTTCCCTTTTCAAATTCTGCATTAACAGATCATCATTGGGTCAAACTAACAGACTTATGCATAAACATTCTATCCTTTGAACAGTAGATTTTATTGTTAAAATACTGTTAACAAGTTTTGCATCAAAAGTACAGAGGTGTGTTTTGGGAAACTGGCAAATATGGAAAAGTTGATTATTTTGCATTCCGCCCTTCAAACAGATTTGCATTGTATGGATCTCTCAGGAAATCTGATAATACTCTGATACTCGTCAGGGAACCCTAACGTATGTTACCTTGTCATGTCCCAATGGGTTAAGTCAAAATTGGTGCCCATCACTATACAGTTCTCATGCATGCATGGTAGTAATATTCAGTGTACCTTTGCTCCATCTCAGACCATAGTATGATTAAAAAAAAACATTCAGTTTGTAGTTGCAATAGAATGGAACCACCTAGTCATTAGAAATTTACTGTTATTTTATTCAGTTTGTAATAACGAAAACACGTTAGTGCCTTCGTGCGTCAAACCATACAGAGAAGCCCTCTTTTCTGTATGGTTTGACACACTTAAGCACTCTAACAGGTGTTTTCATTATTACAAACTGAATAAAATAACAGTAAAGTCACAAAGGAGTACACATATACCTAAATGATATTTGGGACATGCAAGGCAAATGTATATCCAGACCAGACATGTGAAACTTGAACAGCAGTAAAACCATGTACGTGAACACACAGCTCCAAATGCATACATTTTCAGGTTAAGCTTCAGCAAGTAACAGAAACTTAAAATGTTGAAAAGCCCATGGGGGAACTTGTTCCATGATACAAAAAGTAAATGTTGGCCCCCTTTACATGTATATAGTTTCAACTTACTAAAAATAGGCTTACAACAAGGGTAGATTCAGAGGAATTTGGGCCACGCCCTCCAAAAAGAGAGCCTCCTGTTCCTTTTTATTTAAATGAAAGGTGACTTTTTATGGGAGGGGTCTGTACATTGGCCTGAATAAAGCCCCAAATGTACAGTAGCCTCACCCCTTAGAATGGCCATAAAAGGTTACGTGAACAAACATACTAATTTAGCCCCCCCCCAAAAAAGTGGTTTTGTTCTGGTGCATTCGTAGTCAGCCATCTGAAAGAATTTTTCAGTTGAAGGGCTCACTAATTGGCCAGTCAGCATGCACAGTTTTACATGCATGGCTGTACTGTGAAACTCTGCCTCAATGTTATGCCTGTCTGCAAAAATGTCTCCTTTTAAGGGAGGATTAGTTTGAAAATGTAGTCAAGAATTGAAATTGAAACATGGAGTCACGTGTCATTTTTCAGCACAATTAATCTACTGTATGACACAGAATTCACTAGCCCTGTTTTGTGCAGTTGAGAAAACTTGGTTTAATTGCTCAATGTTCTTGAGCTGTGAAAACAATTTTCAGCTGGATTTTGTAAAATGTTTGCTTAACTGTTCCTCTTCTTTTAGACAGATAAACCTAACCCCAAAATGCCTCTAAACTTCGTTTTCAGAAAAGGGGAAATGTCCTGTGAACATGGGTAAGTCTGCAGAAGGTCTTCCCTTCCTCTATCATGCAGACATCTTTTAAGGTTAGCTCAAGTGTTATATTTGAGTCCATCACAAGTCCTTTCACAAGTCCAGTCCCAGGATAGGGTATTGTTTCCCATTGTTTCCACAATATATTACTCTCCTTTATACAAACCACATGCACTTGCCAGTGAGGACTATAGATTGACCATCAAGTACAAGGATACACCCATTGTACATGTATTCTGTCCTCTGTGGTAAGGCTGAACAAGCACACAGGCACAGAGTTGTATGGACTTCACACGTTAAAGCACAGACGTGGTAAGGTTCATAACATTATGGGGACCGTCTTCAATTAGGAAAGTCAGTCCCGACTTTTCTAACAGAAGGAATTGTCCTCTTAATGACCTACCCACACATACTCTGGGTAAGGGGGGGTGTCTTTGCTTTGTGCCTGACTAGTCAGGGTATGGGAAAGGAATATCACCATGGATCATCATGTATCAGCAGCATCAGGAAACATGTTTTCACTGGGCGAGGCATATTTTGTCCGTATTAGGAAAGGGCATGGATTCTAAGTCCAGCTAAAAAGAAAGAATGGTCAAATGTGTGCCAATTTCAGACTTTAATAAACTGATGACAAGTGCTTATTGTAACGTTGTCCTGTGTTTCATTCATTGCTGTGAGTTACTGTGAGAACTGAGAGTAGAGTGGTGATAAATTGGCAGATGTCATTGTCTTTGTGCCAAATGCTGCTGTCTTATGGATGGCAAGTTGTCACTGAAAGAGGGCACTATCACCATCTCACTGGTATCACACACCAATCACAATCACTGTAGCATGTTATGTGTGAGACCAGTTACATAATTAGGCTTACATTGCCACTCAAGATTTTCTCATCCGGTTGACTTTTTATGTAAAAATTTTACCAATACAGTTATTTTTAGATACATTCCCAACAAATACAGTCTTGTTAACTTGAATGCAAGCAGAAAAATGATTCTTGATATGTGCAAAATGCTTAGTAACTCCTGTGTGGTGGTCATTGAGTTACATGTATCACATGTATTTGTCACTGCTGTGGATTCATTCTGTCTAACACTTTTACTTAACCCTCCTATGCTGAAGTCACTCTTTGGGTCACTTGGTAAACACCTCAAAGAAGCACAGCTGTGTTGTGTTGTGCACTGCACCAACATGCAAGAGAGTGACTGTGGGCACTTGTGCATGTTTGTGCTGTAAAACCAAAGGAGGGTTAAACTACATTAAAACTGTGTGATGTAAGATTACTTGTGCATTTCATAATCTGCATAGAACCCAAGGGTTGATCCCCCCAATGAAAATAAAGAAATTGACCACTTTTTTTGTTCATTTCATTTCCCTTCAAATGAGTAAAAAGCCCAATAATGTGGCCTCACGAGTCAGTCATTTCAATAATTATTGTATACGCATCTCAATTATTAGTTCATTATCATGCCACAGTGCTTAATGTCCCTTTTCATGGAACTTTCTATTTCTAGTATCAATCCTGATTTTCCTTGTGCACATAATATGCACCCACACAATGTTCTGTACAGTGTTGGCTTATGCCTGTGGCCTAAAACTGCATACTTGGTACTGTCAAGTGTCTCAGTACAGATGAATGCTTGCTCCAAAGTATTTCTCATTGGAAGCCATTATTTCTGAGAATAAAATAAAGACACAACAGATTAAGTTTTGTTATTGCTACTGCCTGAGTTCTTCGTGAACAATACCTTATGCTGAGATCAATTTACAGTCGGATCAAAGTATTGCTCAGTCTTCAAAGACGTCACAGTCAGTAATATCTCCACCAAGTATTTCAGTTCACTTGCAGTTCTATTGCAACCCTGGTTAAAGAGCACCTCTAAGGCAAACATGTTTTCTCTGATTTTATCCATTCAAATAAATATGGAGACATCCAACTTGAACGCAGTGTCATTTGTCTTCAATGCTCAACTATGACAAGCTTAAAAGGGGTTTTTTCTGTTCATGACAAGTTGCAAATTCTGAATGTAGACTGCATCATTCGGAGAAAACAGAAAATGAAGGGAACTACTGCCGTGTGTTTGTAGTGGATAAACCCTGATGCATGCCAATCAATGGCTACCGTAGCTATCTCCTGAAGTGGTCCATGGAGTGTAGTCTCCCTCATTTTGTACATGCTAACATGGTGTTACTCTTATCACTTGTATTCGTGAATACATGTAATACCCTGCAGACCATGGATACTTGTCAAAGAAACCGTATTACAGAATCAGATGAATATGTTTTTTCCAGTAGAGTCCTGTAGTTGTCGCACACTAGCAAAGTGTAAACTGAGACAAAGATCAAGTCTGGCAATTCTTATACTTTCCTAAACTTGCAGGATAGAATATTCATCTTAAAAAGATTGGGGAGTCTAAGCTTGTCATGAACAGAAAAGCTTTCCTCACCCAGGTTTCAGTTGATATTTTCTTTACTGTGAGGTGGAATGCAGGGGAGAAATTGCAAAAAAAGACATCCGATATTGAATAGAAAATGCTTTGCAAGAGTGCCAATGTGTTCTGTCGTAAAAAAAAATTAACTACCATTTGATTTAATAAAGTATGGGACGTGGGAAGTGATGCATGGTTGAACATTCACAGTTTAGAACTTGTTTAATGAACATCTGTCTTCAATAGTGAAACAGCATTTCATGTGTGAAAGTATGCAAATCACAAAGCAGTATTATAAATTTGCTTTAAGAGTTAGTTGAATGATGAATTAAGCCAAAAGTAATATGAAGGTATTGTTCTTGTTCAAGCACATGGGAAAGAGTGCAGGAAAGGACTTTCACAATTCTTACAAAATGTTGGGCAAGCCAAGCTGCATTGTAGATAAAAGCCTACAGACCATAAAAACTATCTGTACATGGCCAACTCAAATCCCTAAGTTGAAAGATATCCACCAATACCGGGCAAACAAAATCTGCATTTTGAGGTTGTTGAATGCAGCAGTTCAGAAGCAGATGGTAAATACATGTATTATCAAAGGCATCCCAAGGACAATATTATGATTGAACATAAATTACACAGTCATGACAAAGTGTTATATACATGCATACAAATACGTTTTTGTATGTAAAGCCACCTACACGAACTTTGCAATTAATGCATTTTTGAAGCATATTAGTATAATATTTGCTTCAAGTTTCAGTGTTGAACTATCGATGCTCAGCAGGCGGAGTGTATTTGCCTTCATCTATCAGCTTTTTCCTTTGCTTCAAGATTGTCTTGAATCTTGCCATCTGTCAAAACATGAATTTAAAAAAGGATATTCAATTAAAGTATACACTGACATCAGGTCATTTTCAAATAGAAAAATATGCATGTACTTACGTTAAAGTGACTATGCTGTGTACTATTTTCCATGGAAGTGTTGTCAATGACAACACTTTTCATGCAATTTAAAAGGTAGAGACCTTTTATAAAGACGGGTAAAAGGCAAGTCTGTTTATCATGGAGCCAATATTTAAAAAAATCATTACAAATGTTATGTCACATTGACGGACATCAGTGTTGTAGTCAAGACCACCTGAGACCTTCACAAGACCAGCACAAGACCAACATAAGACCTCTAGTCTGAATTCAAGTCACAAGCTATTCAAATGAACTGCAACAAAAGCATTCCTTTGCCATCGTTCACCCTGTTACTTGTGACTAGTATTGTGTATGGTCTCGTAATGGTCTATACTACAACACTGAAGGACATTAAATTTTTACCTGTTTCCCCAAAATAATAACCACTCTTCACTTTAATTCTGAGGAAAGTGTCAATAGACACTGAATTTCAATATGCATGATAGGGTGAAATCTGGACAATGAACAAATTTCTTTTATTACTGAGAGTTTTGAGAGACCTGATCAATTTCAAAGCACAACCCCACATACTGGTAGGTACTGGTACATGTATTTGTGAATGAAATCTGACGACATGAGGGGATCGCACAAGGAGGTACAGACGTCCATGTACACTGTACATGGAATTCAGCAAGGCACATACCTTCTTTGTACCTTGAGCACACTCCCAGAAGTCTTCCAACTCTGATTTGCATTCTTTCTGAGCTCGTTTCCACCCTAGACCCTCAGCACACCGTAGCCAGTCTAACTCTAGATCAGCACATCTTGGTTTTTCATGGGTAGGACCTTCTGGCAACTGCAGTCCAACAAACTGCTTATCCCAGTCTTGGATATGTAGGATTGGCATAGCGGTTCCTGAAGTCTGTAATATGTAAATGCACACATGAAGCTTTGATGTACTGGTTAACTACATGTATGTACAATAGTATTTGTTGAACATTTTATAAATCTGCTAAAATACACATCAGGCGCCCTAAAAAACTCTCTGGTCTCTGGTCAGTGCACGCATCATCACAGACCTGTGCATCGTCAAAGTAAAAAAGTTTTTATTTCGTATAAAACTATGTCCAAAAGCTGCCAAACTTGCTTGATCGACTGGAAGGAATCCTGCTACTGTTTTAGATGGGGTACAATTGAGTAATGTGCACAGTAAAGGAGTCCCTCTTGGCCCCCAAATGTAAATCTGTAATACATGTATACATTTACCTCATGGAATTAGATAAACGAGGTTATCTTTAAACATCTACAGTACATGTACAAGCTGAAAATGCTTTTAAACAGGAAATGGTGAGGGGCCAGTATATTTCAGGAGCAAGGCCATGTGTTATAAAGCACATGTAAAGTGTTTGTAAATCATTTCTAGGGAAAACAGACTAAAAAAAAAGATTTTTCCCATTTCATTCATCAAAAAATTGTTTTGTGGGAAATAAGAGACTTCTTTTCTAAGTTTGACGTGCTGGACTGTTACCATGAACCCTATTTCTAATTCAGAGTTTTAACACGTACAATTGTGATCATTTCTTTTCCCCTAATATCACATCCAACTTTGATTTCATGCACACAAAATTTTTGCTTTTTACCATTTAAATTAAGTTTAATCAAACTCTTTTATTTATGGGCAATCTAGACTGCATTTTTATCTAGTTTAATATCTAAGTTTTAATTTGTCCTCTCATTTCTTCTAACTAGTAATTGAAAGTCATCAAGGGGAGTAGGATCTTATCAGCTTATGCCTTTCTTTTTCATTTTCAGTGTATTTTACACTGTTGGTGTGCAATTTAGCTACGATTCAGATCATCAGGCTAGTTCCTGCTATTGGTATCTATCTTTCAAAGTTACAGTAGCTGTTCTGTATGATATTCTTGTTCCCAAATCATTGTCTTGAGGTGAATAATTCCTGTGATCCTTAATTGTTTCAATTTGTGTGTGATGTAGTTCTGTCTCTTGAGTCAAATGAAATCAATTCAGGATGTTTTTATTCTCTTTGCTGTTAATTTCATTTCTGTTTTTAACTATTTGGACCAAATCAGTGAAAACAAAAGTACAGTTATGACCTTTTTTCCAATTCATTAACCCTCCTGCTGCTGTAACTGTCCAAAAATCCTTCCACTTGATTTGCCCCAGTAAACAGACACATAATGGGAAATGTGACTGATTTTGACTGACAACTGTGTCCAGAAAGTATCTTTGCAAGGAGGGTTTAGCCAAGGAAGGAACATGCACAGTGGGTGGTGTTGGATACATGGATTATTTGTTTGGACAAATATTTATCTGGCTTCATGCTACCATTGTCATTTTAACTACACATGCATGTATTCAAGATATGGGATCAAGACGTACATAAAAGGTCAAACAAAATAATAGTTGTGCTTCCTATTACATTGAAAAAAATAGGTTCGGTAGGTGAGTAATATTTTTTTTCTTCAAAAGTTTTTGCGTCAAACATTTTAGGGTAGGAAATTTTTTCTTGAAACTAAAAAGTGATTTTGATGGTTCATGAAAATTTTTCAGCTATGTAAGGAAGGTTTTGATTCGAATGTGACAAGCAGAGAAGACTAGAATGTAATATCTATGGCCAAGTGGCTTCAAATGTCTGTAGAAATGTCAATGTGAAAACTTTAGAATTACAAGTTTTTAGAATTATTGGTTTATTGCTAATTATATACTTACGTACACAATAAAAATTGCCTCAGCTCTTGTGCATTAAAATACAATCAGTAATAAAATTTAAGAAATACGTATTTATAACAATAAAATAATTAAGCAATAAAAAGAATTAATTTCAATTACACTCAAAACAAGCAAAATAACAAATTACTTGGTATCATTCAGTCCCCTGACTGCAGTTGGATAAAAGCTTCTTCTGAACCGTTCTATATTACACTTAATTACTCTGTAACATTTCCCTGATCTTCACAACTCAAATAACTCATTAGCTGGGTGAAATTCATCTTTAATAATACTGCTGGTCCTATTCTCCACTCTAGATCTGTACATTTCTAAAACTGGTGTGAGATCTCTACCAATAATACGTGCAGCTAACTTAACCACTCTCTCCAGTGCCTGCCGGTAAGCCATGGTGGTACTTCCATACCACACAGTGATGGATTGTGTTAGCACACTTTCCACCACTGCTCAATAGAACTTGACCAGCAGATCACTGGATAAGTGGAAACTCTTCAGGCGTCTGAGGTAGAAGATCCGTTTCTGTGCTTTCTTGATACAATGCATAACATTAGTATTCTAACTCAGATCATTTGTTAAATAAATACCCAGAAATTTAAAACAATCTACAATTTCTACATCATTTCCATTGATAGCAAGGGGAGCAATTGCAATTGGAGTTGTACAGAAATTGACAATGATCTCTTTTGTCTTCATTACATTGAGGTTCAAGTTATTATCAGAGCACCACTGGGTTAAACGCTGAATTTGATATTATATCCAAGTGTTTGCAAAAAACATTCCTCCTAAAGCATGCCTGCAAAAAAAATTTCTTGGTCTTTCATTTCATATAAATACAGGCATATTTTTGCAGGCATGTTTTTTAACCTCATTATTTCACTTGCTGAAATACCAGTGCATTTCCCACATTCTAAGGCGAATGCTCCTCCCCGGCCTGCAGTATGCTGTCCGCTGCCATGATGTGTGTAAGCTTCAGGGTGTATTCCACTAAGTGATAAGATTTCTACACGCATGCTCATTATGTTTTGTGATCCCATGGGGATTTTACAATAAGAGGTGCCATCATCAGGAGAGACCATAGAGATACCGGTATTTTCATAAGTCACGAATTTGGGACTTCTGGCATCCAACTCAGCATATTTTGTTCACAATAACCTCTATCCCATGGACCTACATGTACAGGCAGCTACACTGAGAGCTGAGCATAATGTGAGGTCAAGTTGGGTCTCAACTTCTGTACCATTTGAATGCAGCTAACACTAATGCCAACATTGTTTTGGTTGAGGCTCAGGTCGTTTCACCTAACGTGCTGGACTTGAATCAAGCTCTTCCCCGAAACTCCAAAACATCCTTGCAAAGGCTGACTAGCCTGTATTGGACTGAATCACAAAGAATATTGCAGCTCCCTTCTTTGTCTGATTAGAGTTTTACGATGCGCTCTCTGATGTTACTGTTGATTCGAAGCTCCATATTTAGGCCTTAAAGTCGCAAAAACATGAAACAACTGGCAAGGCTGGGGTCACGCCAGTCACGTGTTGTGTGTCGCATGCTCTGGTATGTCCTCTATTGTCCTTTTGTTGTCAGTTTGTTTCTAGTCTTTAATTTGGAGGAAAACTTTATTTCTATAGTCGTCTTTAATTGTGCACGGCAGTCTTTATTTCTGTGGTCATCTCCATTTGGTTTGCCAGCTTTATATCTGTCATTGTCCTTATTTCTCTACTCTTTATTTCTGTGGTCATCTCCATTTGGTTTGCCAGCTTTATATCTGTCATTGTCCTTATTTCTATACTCTTTATTTC